AACCCAAGCCGAAGGTGGTGCTCCCCCCTGTCGTCAAGGGCGATCTCACTGGAAAGACTGTCATAGTCACTGGCGCTAACATTGGTCTTGGATTCGAGGCTGCAAAACACTTTGCTACCATGAATCCAGCGCAATTGATTATCGTCTGTAGGTCCATGGAGAAAGCTCAAGCGAGCATCAAGCGTGAGTGGGTTCGCGGATTTGAATTACCGTGCTCATATGTGCTTGGTAGAAATTGAAAAAGAAACTGGATACAAGAACGCGGAGCCTATGGTTCTAGACTTGGGCAAGTGGAGCTCCATCTCCGAGTTTGCCACTCAAGCTAGCAAGACATTGGACCGTCATCGACATTCTCGTTGAGAATGCTGCCGTTGGCATACCCGGTAACTACGTGCCGACCGAGGACGGCTGGGAGTCGATGTAAGTGTGCTCCATACTGTTGTGATGCATTAAATACCTATAGCTACGATTTACAGGCTTCAAGTTAACTCACTGGGACCCGCCATGCATGTTCTCCTTTTACTTCCCATAATCATGAACACAGGTCAAGGTGCACTCCGTGGTGCCGCGAATAGTAGTGGTCTCGAGTGGGGCAGCTTTCTCCGCCAGTATTAGCTCCGATGTCTATCGCCGCGCCGAATACCCTCGAAATGCTTTCTAGCAAGGCATATTGTACTGAGGAGTAAGTAATCCCAGTTCCCAACTGCTTTCTTTGTTAATTATATCACAACTCAAAGGGTGCTTGCAAACCGTTATCAGCCTATCGAAGAGTAAGTTTAAGTTTCTACAAGCTACTTATTGCACTCTAATCATCAACGAAAATTTTCAGTGCTGAACATCATGCTCGTGCGTAAGCTGGCGGAGCACCTACCACAAAACGTCGTTCCAGTCACTCTCAGTCCAGGTTTCTGTGTATCAGGGTTGCGTCGATGGGCAGTAGGAGAGGTAGCCGAACAGTTCAAGAAAATGGAAGATGAATCTGCATATACCTCAGAGGAAGGTAGTCGACACATTATCTATTCTGCAATAGGTGGAAAGGACGAAGAATTGCGGGGTGCTTTCATGTCGTACTTGGAACCGGCCGAGATTTCGGCCTGGATGTTGAGTGATCGAAGGAAAGAAGGCCGAGGATAAAACCTGGGTATGATTTTTTTGCGCCTTGAGAGGTTTTTCAAACTTATATGCTCTGTATAGGTTGAGATGATTGAGCTTTTTGGCAAGCTCGATGACAGAATTCCTGGCATAGTTGCACAGTATCTCAAGGCTTGAATGGTGCGACAAGATTGGTAGTGGGAAATCGTTATAAATATAGAATGTTCAATATGCATACAACGTGAAACACTGCTGTGATTTGTTTTGATCCCCCAAGCTACAGAAGACATGAACACGCCAGCCTATAATATTAGGACGGAATGAAATTTTCATCTTCAACAATCAATGGGGGACTGCAGCATGATACTGAGACCCTGATAAGCATGTGGGTATCCGAAAGGTCTAAGCTGTATGTATTCAGCCAGATATGTGTGTCAAAGCTGTATATTTACTCGCATATAGTTAAACCTATTCTAGGGTTAGGACCAGAGTGGCCGATGTGGGACAGGAAAATATTGAGACGGTGCATAAGCCTGAGCCTATACAAGCTGTAGACACCCTTTGTATGGACAAGGTCGCCGTGCTATGAAGGATCTCCACAGCCCACAAACCCGGGTACGTGAAGGGGCTTGTGCCATCAAGGTAAGTATGAGGTTTTTCATCGAAGGAGCAGGGCTTTAATACTGAAAAAAATACGCACGGACCATTGCCATCACATGTAACCTGTCTGGGCAGCGTTCGCCATCAGCCAACCATCATGACTCTCCCTTATGAGCTTCACGAGCTCATTATCGACAAGCTACGCTATTCTTTCCCCGAACTGGAAGCCTGTAGCCTCGTCTGCAGAGCTTGGCTTCCTCGCTGTCGATTACATCTCTTCCGGGTCATTCGAATAGGTCCCCAAAGAGTACGTGGGATAGGGAAGGAGCAGACGCAAGAATCTTTCAACAAGTTCCAAGCATCTTTTGCAGCTCCTGGACCAAATTGAGCATCTTGAGCATCTAGTCATCGAAAAGTATTGGGAGTTCCATGCCAATCGTGACATTCTACGATTTATTGCGTTGCACATGCTCCCAAGTTGAAAACACTGTGCTTATCAGAGTTTAAATGGTATCCTTCATTTGACGTTCTCGTCCTTGAAGATATCTTCGACCAGTGGAATTCTGACTTCATCGCTCACGGTATACCTCCACTAAGACTGGAGCGACTCTGTCTTCGAAAGTTCTCAATGAAGGGGACCAATCTCATTCAGATGGTGGTTCTACCCTCTCCATGCTTGGATCTGCACTCGTTGCGCTATCTAGCTATATCCGCGACAAGTCTAGAAACGGCTCTTGCTAATGAGTTCTCAGAGCTCGGCAAGGAGCTCGTTCATCTTACTATTACTAATCTCGATACATCAGGTCCGTATTCTCCCTCTATTCCACTTGTAAACTTAACTTTAAAAACGTATAACAGTATTCAATCTTTGGGCAGAGTCATTTCCCAAGCTCTCTCAACTACAAGTATTTGTAACAGATGAATTGTTTCTTTTGCGACTCTTACAGCACCTCTCGACGCAATGGCCTTTCGAGAGGGAATTGTTAGATGTTCACATAATTTTGAAGCGGAATACATTGCTCACAATAACGCGCTCGAACCGTTTAATGGCATTCTCAGCTCCTCCCTCAATCCAGTTCTTCATGGGTTGATCAACGAAACTGATGGTAGCAGCGGAATATACATCAGCATGGATTTTATCCATGTGGATGGGTCAGAGATGCAACAAAGGTACATTAGGAAGGCGTTTCCGCTAAGCTTCGCGACCGGAAGCCTGCACTGGAGGGACAGGAGATCATTGGAATGGTGGTTCGAGTGATACCATTACATTACCTATTGCTTAGACTAAGTCCTCAAATCAGACTTGATACTTCTCCCAAAGGTGATTCAGTTGAACGTATTACTGTATTATGATCCCAGAGTTGTACAGCTACACTACTTTATTCCTCGCATCTTCAATTCCCAACAAAAAACCATCAGGGCTCCGGCCGAAAGGCGCGGGCAAAGTATGAATGTCGAAGTTGATAAATATACATGAGGCATATGCATGCCATTGCGAAAGAGGCGGAAGGCTAGGATATGTATCCAAGGTAAAGCATTGAGTCGATCTAAATGAAACGTATGAATGAGCGTTGAGATCTGGAAAGAGAACTTGACTTACAGAGAATAATAATACACAGAATAGAGCTATGGCTATAGCGACCTATGAGATAACGCACGCGCTGTCTGAAGAACTACCGCTCTCGTTGTCAGAAGGCAGGGAAGTTGTCTCGACCTCCTCAATGGGAGTAGCAGCAGAGTAAGATGCTAGGGTAGTGAAAGCGTCCATTTCTTGAGTTCGAGTAGATGAGTGGGTTAATGTTGAGCTCGGAAGGGACGGTATAGGTTGAATAAGAACCTAATGAGGTTCAAACAAAAAGTTGAATCATTTATACCATTTCTACGGCCCCTTAGCCAGTTCTATTGTGTTTTTGTATGCGCTAATTTGGGATGCAAAGTGCGCCCTTGACTGGCCTTTTGTTCTCTTCCCCTGGATTAAGATGTCTTCCCAGCTGAATACAATAAGACCAAGATCAGGGTGACTTTAGAAGATTTCAGACAGGACATGGAGGGAAGAAACAATAAGAAGTGTCAATCTAGGTAGTTGTAGAAACAAAAAGACTCGGGCCTTGCTCGGAGTAATCCCGAATCTCCCGCGGATAGTCTGACTTTCTTGCTGTCGTTTTGCCCCTCTCTAACCATGCCTAAATTTTTCATCGGATGAGATATCCGAGAGGTCAAAGCTGTGTGTATTCAACCGGATATGTATGTCAAAGCTGTATATTTACCCACGTATAGCTAAACCTATTCTAGGGTTAGAACAGCGAACTGGCAAAGAAAAAGAGCCCACCCAGCCAGAGTGGCCAATGTGGGACAGGAAAATATTGAGATGGTGCATAAGCCTGAGCCTATACAAGCCGCAGACACCCTTTGTATGGACAAGGTCGCCGTGCTATGAAGGATCTCCACAGCCCACAAACCCGGGTACGTGAAGGGGCTTGTGCCATCAAGGTAAGTATGAGATTTTTCAATGAAGGAGCAGGGCTTTAATACTGAAGAAAATACGTACGGACCATTGCCATCACATGTATTCTTTCTGGACAAAAATTGGGCGCTACCTCTGTTCTCCCGACTTTCAATCTAGCTTGCCGATATTGATATTTATATATGCAGGTCCCACTGGGAACACTCATGTCCAACATGTACAGTAGGAACAAACTTCAGCCAAGACCTCTATGGCTCCATTGGCACCCTAGTGCAATTATTGTCTAGGAACACTGTGAATAAGAGGCTTTACTAAATACCCTAATACACCTGGCAGCAAATTTGTAAAACTTGAAAAGAACCCAACTAGAGTGACTGGAAAGTATGTATTGACAGTGCATAAGCCTGAACCTGTACCAATGGAAGTGAAGAATATGGATTATGGGATGTTAAGCTCACTGATGAAGAGATAGAACTGATATGCGGCATCATGTGCAGAGCTGCACAGAGGAGGACCTTGCTATGGGATCACCCAGGTTTTGCTGATGGGAATGTACCGAGACTACAGAGCCGTAAGTGTAATAGCCTGAGATTATTTTCAAAAACCATCTGAGAAACAAGGATTCAAGTTCTGAAGGACCGCTACAGACTATGGCGCAAGGAAGTAAGCAAGTAGCTTGGTGACCTGCCTTTTGCCTGCCTTCTATGAGCTTGGTGAAAGTGTCGAACCTCGATAGAAGAACCGTCAACCTCTAGAGGGGACTGCTTTAGGCCTAGTAAGCAAGTGCCGGAGCGCATATTGATCGTGTTGAAATAGAGTAAAGCCAGCTATATTGTGGTAACGTGGTTCGATGGCGTAGCGGTTATCGCATCTGTCTTACATGAGCGAGGATATTAATTGTATGCACAGAAGGTCTCCGGTTCGATCCCGGGTCGAATCATGCGAATGGTCCTGTGATGGTTATTTTTTTGTTAAAAAAATGTACTTTGTGACCAGTAGGTTCAAAGTGGGTTGGGTATTTTGGCTTCCGCAGGCACATTACATACACCTATACTCAAGGTTAATGTCGCTTCCCAGTGGAAGGTGGAGTCGAAGCTGGTAGCTAGTAGGTGTTTTCGAGAGGTATATAGTACACTAGCATATAGTACGTATCCTAATCATGAGTATTTATCGTTCCAGACACATACTAGTGCAAAATTGGACAATCAATGCTTATTCGATCGTAAAAGAATCAAACGACTTCGGATCCGAGCGCAGAGCACAACATTTCCCTTTCTCTTTGCGATGTCCGTTCCCTCACCTACTGCCCTCCCCTGCTTTGCCTCGCCTCCGCCTCACCTAGATCGCACCCATACTCATACTCGTATTCGTATTCCCACCAACCGTATCGCGCAGACTCCACATCCCCGCTGGAACGATAGAAGCGAGGGAGTTGACGAGATCGGAGCCGGGTATGGGGATGTTTTTTCGTTGCCTACGTAGCCGATGGGTTGAGCGGGAGCGGAGGGGGAGAAAGGGAGGCAGGAGTATATGTAGGATGAGCGGATGGTTTAGCGGTGAGTGACAGGTCAGGAGAGTGATCGTCGCCGGTCGGTCAGCGCAGCGCAGGGTTTTGCATTTGGGTAGGCGAATGATATACGGCACGAGTTGCGGTGAACGAAGGAACGAAAGGAAAGATGAAAAGGGGTTCAGTAGGCAGCGTTCGAGGGAATGGAAGGGAAGGTGCTTACAGTTCACGGACTACACGTGCGACGGGGGAAGAGGGAATGGGAGCAAACATTTGTCAGTAACAGCATACGAATAAAATAACCGTCGCAAACTGACCTCTAACAATAAAATTAGCCGCAATCGCCACAAACAAGAGGACGCTGACGATGATAGGGCCGGCGATTGCGTCTGAAGAAGGACACTCAGTCAGTGACATAGATATCGGTACGAAGGCGGAAACTGCGTGACTAACCAAAATGGCCCGGATCCCTCTTCCTAATCATGGTAATCCTCCTCTGATATAACGCAAAGCCATACACCAAAACACCTATACTAATCAATGCATATGCATACGCGAAATTCCTCGCTATGGGGTTGTGATTGGAGGCGTTGAAGAGGGCTAGGGCGAGAGTTCCGAGGAGAACTGCGAGGTTGAGCCAGGATATCCAGGCTACGGGGGTGAATTGGCGTCAATGGATATGGATAGAAGGAGGTAAACTTACTTCGTTCATTAGCAAACCACACCTTTCCCTCTACTTTAATCGGTGTAGCAATCTTTTTCGGTACTCGTACTGCAGACGGAAGGTTGTTTATCGAATGATAGTCTCTGACTGTAGGCATTAGCCCTTCACCAATATTACTTCCATCTTCGTTGGCGGGCTCAACATCTGGTATGCCATCCCTCCTAGTATACCGAACATCCTTTGGCCTAGACACATTCGGTAGACTCGCTAGTGCACCAGCGGAGAATGGCGATAGACGTTCGGCCATTAGGTGCCAGGAGCGGCGGAGGAGGGAATCTGGACGTGGCTGTTCTGCGAGGGGGTTTTGCGGTCTGGGTGTTGGTGTGGACATGGTAGCGAACGAGAAGACTGGCCCGACTCGGCAGGCACACCCAACACTTGAACGTGCTTGGGAAATAAATTTTGCCTATAACTTATTCTCAGCTTCTCAGTCCAGGTGCTTCTTCTTCCAAACTGGCGTCTCAGCCAAAACAGAAACGTCGATGCAGCCAATCCTTCACAAAATCACGGGGTCATTGACTCCCAAAGAGCGCGTTCAATCAACAACGGGTGCTCAATACATCATTTCTTGTCTTGGAGACAACCATGCCTTCCTTCGAGCAAATCGCGCAGCGACAAGGGAGGAGCACGTCTTTCTCATGGCCAGTAGCTACACAAACGGTATTTGTACAGTATGTCATTCAGAGTTTGACGCTCTGGAGGGAGATTTTCGCATCGCAAGCCTTAGCCAATTGATTCGTTCTAGTGAGTGGACTCTTAATTATTTATCAGTTCCGTTCCACCTACTTACGGTCACTCGCCGAAAAAGACCTTCTCTTCCCCAGACTTCGAGACACGTCGCACCGACCAAGGCTGCCCAAGAACACCCCGCTTAATGCACGTATTGCGCAATGCCCAAACTCAAAAAGTGTCGGTTCATGGCCATGGGTAGGATCGATATCGCGTGTCATCCGCATGAATCATGACCGGTACCACAACGCCCCAAACGGCAAACGCTCTCCTCTTCATCCCAGGACACAAATTTATGGCATCTTAAAGTTATCGGTGACCGATCTGCAATGCGCTTGGTCAGACTCAGATCTTGTCGTTCGTTGATGGAGACTCGGAAGCCAGCGTTACGGTCATACAGTATAGAACCTCAGAGAGGCTGGTTTTGGGTCTGCGGAGATTTGGGCGAGAGAGCTTGAGATTTTGGGTGGGTGATTTCTTTCGAGTCTGGGATGTTTCTGACGTAGGCAAGTAGGTAAGTTCTGCATTTCAAAAGACATCACTGTTTTCGATGCTGGGAGTTGTACTCTATCGACGGTGCTTTAGGAATTGGTGTTCTAGGTTCTTCCGAGCGAGCCGTGTTTTTACTTACCATGACCGATGAGCGGTTTTATAAGTATTGTCTACTACAATCCATATTCTATCGTCTAAGCCTTTGTTGCAGTCCCGCGTGGAGATATCCAGAAAGCTAGCGCGCACTTTGCTTTGGTGGAGAAAGATCCCGATGCTACCGAGGACTAAAGTGACTCCGACGACTCGAGATGCCAATGGGCTATTCAAGCTGGACACAGGTTGGACAATGTCTGTGGACTAGATAAACCGAGAATAACTATATAACCTTGGCCCTGACTTGGGTATAAAGTCCAACTTTCAGAGTTCAAATTAATCGCCTGGTGCCCTATCTTCACACCCCTCCGATCAGAGCTGGTCTTTGATATTCATTTTTCGCTCCGCACATCTCCTTGCTTGTTTTCTCCTTCTAATTGGTCTCAGTTTGAGGTGGGTATTTTTCAAAATTCTTTGGGCATTGAATATCATACTGATATGCTTTCTTTGCCAGACCAAAGAGAACAATAACAAACCATAACGCAGCGCGATGGGACTCACAGCGATCACCGGTTTTGGAACAGAAGAAGATGAAGTAATCAAGGAACGCACAAAAAGATGGGTAAACGTTTTTCTAGCCCGATTAAGAACACCTGCAAGGCGGCAGTAAATCATGATCTTGGATTTGCTAGGGCGTTGTATGTACTCCCTTCCCTATTGCGAACCATAGGTTTCGGGACCCAAGAAAGTGAGTTGCGGGTGTTGCTAGTTTATCATTTAACAAACAAAAATGTTTAACTCGAGAGGTCTCATTGAGACGTCAGCACAAGTAAGCACTCAATGGAGTGGGCTGTCTGGAACAGGTCTGGAAAAGAAGGTACTTACAGTATCGTCTTTTGCTTGGACGTGTAAGCAAAGATTACAAGTGTCTAGATTAGATTAGCTGGGCGCTTACTGCTTACTCAGGAACAAGTTCTCTCCGTTCGAGCTCCGTTGATTTAGTTGGCTTCTGTTCCCTGCAGGAACAAAATTCTTCTATGACTCCGTTTGAGCTCCGTTGACTCTCTAACTCTTTACATTCGTAGGAACAATGAGTAAGAGGGTTTTACTAAATGCCCCGTTTCTTGGCAATTAGAATCCGGCGAAGTAACTTAGTAAGGAGAAGAGTATGGGATTGATGACGCAGACTACTTCCATCATTTGAAATCCAGTAGATACTTATAAAAGGTAGATTTTCTGCCTACTACATCCACACAAATTCACCCCATATCGTCACTAGCAACAAAATGGTTAACCGAACTTACCAAGAGATGGTAGAAGAGCAGAAGAAAGGGATGGTCCCTATAGTCAGAGGTGATCTCACTGGAAAAACTGTCATGGTCACTGGCGCCAACAGCGGTATTGGATTCGAGGCTGCAAAGCACTTTGCTACCATGAGTCCCGCCCGATTGATTATCGTCTGTCGATCCGTGGAGAAAGCTCAACAGAGCATCAAGCGTGAGTACTGGTTCCGCTTTAGATTATTCATAGTGCTTATTATCAGTATAGAGATTCAAGAAGAAACTGGTTACAAGAACGCGGAGCCTATGGCTCTCGACTTGGGCAAGTTTAGCTCCATCTCCGAGTTCGCCACTCAAGCCAGCAAAACGTTGGACCGTCTCGATATTCTGGTTGAGAATGCTGCCGTTGCTATTATGGGAAAGTACGCTCAGACCGAGGATGGCTGGGAATCTATGTAAGTACATGCCAGCATTACTGTGAAAGTTATTCAACCGTCTCTGCATCCGATTTCCAGGCTTCAAGTTAACTCTCTAGGACCCGCTCTGCACGTTCTTCTTTTACTTCCCATAATCATGAATACGGCCAAGCAGCACTCTGTGGTTCCGAGAATCGTAGTGGTGTCGAGCGAGATGATTTTCTATGCTAACATTGGTTCCGATGCCATCGCCGCGCCGAATACCCTCGAAACGCTTTCTAGCAAGGAATACTGCACCCCCGAGTAAGGACATCTAAGTTCTAACCGAGCGGTACTGCAGTTTGCTAATATGAGACTCTCAAGGGTGCTAGCGAATCGCTATACAGAATCGAAAAGTATGTTCCTTCCAAGTGACTGCCAGCTAGTTCTCAACCATACTTCCAGTTTTAAACGTCATGCTCGTGCATAAACTCGCGGAGCACTTGCCGAAGAACATCGTGCCTGTTGCTCTCAATCCAGGCTACTGCTTATCCGGGCTACGTAGGGAAGCAGGAAGGAGAGCAAGCCGCCAGGTATAAGAAGATGGAGGACGAGTTTGCCTACACGTCAGAAGAAGGCAGTCGTCAGATCATCTATTCTGCAATTGGTGGAAAGGATGAGGAATTGCGTGGCGCTTTCACATCGTACTCACAGGTGTTG